ATCAATATCATGCACAGTAATGTCAATCACTAAAATGAATGCAATAGTGAATTGGCCACAAATCTCTGTGTCCTTATTATTTAATATTAATATTATTAAATATTAATATTATTTAATATAATTATTTAAAATTATAATATTAATATTATATAATTTAACTTGGAATATCATGAGCATATGACTCTATCCTAATGCATCTAACCTTATGCACAATATAATAGTCTGGCCAGCCCTGCAGCCCATTCTAGGTTCTGATAGGCTCTCTAGGTTGGCATTCTAGCTTCTGACTGGCTGTCCAGGTTGTCAATCACAGCCGTGGGCATTTTATACTAGTCGTAACATTGCTAAACTTTTTTCATGACGGTTTTCTCAGTTAACTAATGCTATTGCTAACAGTAACATACATTAACACAGCCCTGCACACTGCACACTGCACCTGCTGTCATTATATGCCGGGTCTGTGGTTCATCATCTTCCTTCTCATTCTCCTCCTCATTACTGCGACAGGGAGCGGGAGCCCTTCTACTAAACAGCTCTGTGATTTTCGAAAATTTTCCAGCTTCTTCCTGTAGCAATTTTCGTTTTTTCATTCTGGCTTTTTCAGCCCCACCCTTTCTTTTTTTACTGTTCTCCATCTTTTCTTTCTCAATTTTGCTAGCTAACTTACTGATCAATCATCAAACGAAGCTAGGGAGCTTGTCTGATGAGTGCGGACCTCTGACGCGGGCCTCGCCCTCTTTCCAATTGGAAGAGACGACTCATCTCTCCCGGCCCAGCCCCTTCAGTTCATTCAGCCTACTTTCAAAAACATAAGATTGACAAGTTTGACAACCTATCAATAGCCCCGTTTACATGGAATGTTTTTCCGGTCGTATCCGATCACTAAATAAAGCGATCCACGTTCACTCGTGGGCCAAGCATTAAGCTGATTACAATTTCACCGGTACCGAAGTGGGCCGATCGGAGTGGGGCAGTGGGCCGCGTCGAGTGGTCCGACCGGCCCACTTCGGTACCGGGCTACCGGCCCATCGGGATTCGTCCCGAACGTCCCGATGGCCAGTCCGCCCCTGACTCACATTGATAAAGTAGTAGATAAATGTAAAAGGGTTTTAAATGTTATGAGGTGCTTGGCAGGCACTAAGTGGGGGGCTGATAAAGCTGCTTTGAGGAACGTATACACAGCATTAATTAGATCAGCCATAGAATACGGACTAATAGTGTATGGTTCAGCTGCATACTCTTCTCTTCAAAAATTAGATAGAGTCCAGGCACAAGCACTAAGGATATGCTGTGGGGCAGTCAGATCTACACCAGTGTCGGCACTTCAGGTAGAGGTCGGAGAAATACCAATTTTTTTGAGGAGAAAACAGTTAATTGTTAATTACTGGGCCATAAAGATACTCACCCTACTAAACAAACTGTAAAAACAAGTTGGGAAAGTAACAAAATGAAAAAAGAAAGTTTTTGTGTTTGTGTTTCTGAATTATGTAAGGAATTCAAAGTTAAAGAATGGAATATTAGTCCGACGGTGTTGTTATCAGCGGTTCCACCATGGTTGCTACCTCAACCTATAGTAGATTTATCTTTATTGAAAAGGTTACATTCAATGAAAAACAAAATTAATGTACAGGCTTATGTGAATACTGTTCTACATGAACAATATGGGCAGTTTATACAAATATTTACTGATGGATCCAAAAATCCAGAAAATGGTCAAACTAGTTGTGCATTTTATGTTCCTGAATTAAAAGTAAAAGTGGGAAAGCGGACGAGTGATCACATCGCAGTATATACAGTAGAGATGATGGCTATCTCACTAGCACTTCAGTGGGTAGAGGAAATACAGCCAATGCGAGTGGTCATTTGCTCTGACTCCAGTGCAGCTCTGGAGAGTATAAACAACTTCTCTTCAGAATGTCGACAGGATATTTTACATGAAATTTTACACATCATGTTTAGGTTAGTTCATCTGGGAATTGTTGTTCAATTTGTGTGGGTTCCAGCGCATGTGGGTATTAGAGGGAATGAGGTAGTGGATCAACTGGCAAAATGTGGTTTGAAAGCAAACCAGATTGATATTATGGTACCCATCAGTAGAGCAGAAGTCAAATCTGTTACAAAAGGTGTTATTAAGCAACAATGGCAAAAACTATGGGACAGTAACACCAAAGGAAGACATTTATACCAGATACAAAGGGAAGTAGGAACGGGAAGCACTTGGGGGAGTAGTAGAAGAGAACAGAGCATTAACAGCAGGATAAAAGTGGGTCACTCTGGATTAAACTCATCACTGCATCTGATTGGAAAACATCCAAATGGCAATTGTGATGGTTGCCAACAACCAGAGACAATACATCATGTATTTTTTAGCTGCCCGGATTATAACAGACAAAGACTCATTCTGAAAACTGCACTGGAACAACTCAACATCAAGGACATGGATTTCAAGTCAATATATGAAAGTAAATCAAGAAATGAAGCAAACAAGTTGATCTTCAAATTCCTCAAAAGCACTGGTCTGAGGACAAGGATTTAGTATAAACATTTAATAAACCAACAGTAGGTGGCGATATATGCTCCAAGTGGAAGCGATTCGCCATTAAAGAGAAGAAGAAGAAGATCACAATCCATATGTGCCTTTTCTGTCCTGAAGAGGAATACATAGGAGCGAGAAGTACAGATTGAGTAAAAGTAGAAATACTCAGATCTTGTACTTTAGTAAAAGTAGAAGTACTCAGATATTGTAGTAAAAGTAGAAGTACTCAGATCTTGTACTTTAGTAAAAGTAGAAGAACTCAGATCTTGTACTTGAGTAAAAGTAGAAGTACCAGGGTGTAGGAATACTCTGTTACAGTAAAAGTCCTGCATTCAAAATGTTACTCAAGTAAAAATAGAAAAGTATTATCATCAAAATATAATATAAGTACCAAAAGTAAAAGTAGTCATTGTGCAGAAAAAAGTGTACAACACTTGTAGAAGTCTCATTGGACTCTAGGACGCTGATGTTCTGACATCCAGTAAAACAGAGTAAATAATGTGTTAAAATAACTTAAAAAGCAGATCCTGGTGACACTCACCCTGTTGTTCTCCTCCTGCTCCGTCGAGATGTAAAGGCGGAGGCGTGTGGCGCAGTGGATCAAGGGGTCACAGGTGCAAACCCCACTGCAGTCAGCATGTCGTTGTGTCCCTGAGACACTTCACCCCAAATTGCTCCTGTGGGGATTGCCCACAGTATTGAGTATGTAAGTCGCTTTGGATAAAAGCGTCTAACAAGTGACATGTAATGTAATGTAAAATTGCGTCTGGCAGTCTGACTTCCTGCATCTGCCCGATCTGCCGCCCTGCCCTATCTGCACTGCGCATGTGCGAGATGGTCCGACAACTACATACGGCAACTCAAACAGGACAGTTGACGTCTAGACGGCTGCCCGATTTGCCTCGTGCATGCGCGAGTCATAAACGTCTCAAATATCTATACAAAAATCTTTTGTTATTTTATTTTATTTGAAATAATATGAAGGACATTCACAGTTAATGTAATTAGATATAAATTATGAATGCCATACATATTGCATACATTCACAGTCAATATTTCTTCAGTATGATAGCTGTCTAACTGAAGTTAAATCCATTTAAGATAAAATAAGATAAAATGGACCTTTATTAATCCCCGTGGGGAAATTCAGTTGTACAAGCAGCAACAGGGTAAGCGTGAAAAAACAGGTCAGCAAAGATTCACACGGATTAATAAAATCTAAAATAAAGTCAAGAGAAAAAAAAAAATTAAAATAATAATGATAATAATAATAAAAGACTATGAAATAGGAGATGAGTAAAAATAAGAGTAAAATAACTGTCAGCATATATACATATTTGGCCATCTAAGTTATGAAGTACGAAAAGAGTTCAAGTGACAAGTGAAAAGTGAAAATGGACATCTGTACATATAGTGACATATCTATCTACATATTTGGTCTACTACTAATCAGTGGCGAGCCGTCAGTGAGGGCCTAAGATATTCCAAAAAATAATATTTAAAAACATTAAAAAAATATATATTTTTTTTAAATATATATTTTTTTAATATTATTTTTGTTATATTTTTCATTAGTTTTACCGAAAAAAAACTTGATTTAATAAAATAACATTTCCAAAGAAATAAATCCTTCGAATCTGCCTGTTCAGTCTCTGTTTGAATGTGGGTTACATGAAAGAAGCTCACCTGGCCCTCTCTGCGATTCACAGAGGGCCCGCTATAGTAACTGAACGAGAGAGTAATGTCAAATGACAGTACAATTGACCAATCATATCTTCCCTCTAAATGGGTGGGTTTTATTATCGCGGACTAGATGACAAGTTCCGCCCGCTGTGAAACTTTTCTTGTTTCCATAGCAACAACAACTTCCTGTCAACAGCGTGAACTCGCCTTCAAAATAAAAGCATGCCAAATTACACTTAAGACATACAACGGCAACGAAAGTAACAAACACAATGCAATATCATTTTCAATGTCAAAGAACACAAATTGGGTTCACAGGTGTTGTTTTGTGTGGTAGAGGGTCGCTGTCATTGATGCGTTTTGCACCCTGGGCCGTTGTTTTGATATTCCGCTGAAGTATACGCTGTGACGTAATAACTCTTTTTTTTTCATTTTTCGAGGGAAGGGGTGGGGGTCAGAGGGCCTAGGTATAAAGCTCACGGCTCGCCACTGCAATACATTAATAGGGGATTTCAATTTTGACGGGGCGATTCTATTTTAACCGCTGCCGACAGGGGGCGAAAGAGACGAGTGAGCGATACAGGGAGAGAAACACAGAAGAAGAGATGAGAGAGCGGCAGAGAGAAGCGGAGAGGAAAGTGAGTGAAGAGAATAATTAGCGATACAGGGAGACAAGCGGAGAGGAAAGTGAGTGAAGAGAAGGTTCAAATACTTCTTTCACAGAGTTTTTGTTTTAAAGTGACTCAACTAACAGTAATTGTCTTTTCCTTAAGGGTGTGAAGCCAGGGCCCATCAACTCCATGGTCTTCACCAAGCCTGTACCAAATAGGATGGTGCAGACTGGAGTTAGTAAGGTAATTTTAGCTGAAATATTGTGTTTCCTGTGTTTTTAAAATTCATAATGCTATTCTGGTGCTGTATTCCTTACCTTTATTGTCACATTAATGTGCTATATTGTCTTTGCCATTCTTTGTAGGAGTGGATTCTACAGAGGCATGGTGGGGCCATTACCAGATCCCTGCCTGTTCAGAGTTACGGAGGCATACTCAGCATTCAGCATTGAAGACAGACCGCTTGTGACCACAATGAACATGAGACCTGACAAGCCCCTTGTGGAAAGTGCCTTCGGGATGGTGCAGGAGGGCAGTGTTCTGTCCTATCAGATGCCTGCTTTGACGTCTCGGTACACCACACTTCACACTGACACACCACCAACACCCCACTTGCCCATAGAGGGGTATGTGATCTTGCCATGTGATTTACCGCTGGTGTGCTCAGAAGAGGAGCAACTACATATGAACAGCTTATCTGTTGATTTGGAAATGTCTCACAAAATTGAGGAGGCTACCCGTGAGCAAAGCTCTAGCTCAGAGTGGCATCTGCTCCGCAAACCCAGGGTTACTGCCTCTAGGTTTAGAGAGATTTGTCACGTCAGAGGTGAGAGCTCTGCTAACTCTCTTGCAGAGCGAATACTCAAAGGTACAAGGCAGACTGCAGAAATGAGGAGAGGTGCAGAGATGGAGCCCACAGTAGCAGCTGAATACAGTAGACTGGCAAACGTGAACTACTCCCCTTGTGGCCTTGTCATTCACCCCTCTACGCCCTGGCTTGGTGCCTCCCCTGATGGAGTTGTTTTTGACCCAACAGAATATCCCCAATTTGGCCTTGTTGAATTCAAATGTCCCAATGTCCCAAATTATGTCGACTGCAAATATGTGCAGATGGAATGTGGCTCCCCTAAGCTCAAGAAAAGCCATGCCTATTACTGGCAAGTACAGGGTCAACTTCTTGTATCTGGGATGCAGTGGTGTGACTTTGTAGTGTGGGCACAGGAGGACTACCTGGTGCAAAGAATATACACAGATCCAGAAGTGCAAAGAGCAATCAGAGAAAAAGTAGACTTTTTTTTTTTTTACACATACATGCCGAAGTACCTGTCATTAAAAAAGTAGTGGGCACTGTAGCCATTGTTAACTCTGTAAGCAGTTAGCTGCTAGACCCTGGCTCAGCTGTTTTTTAGGAGGCAATCCCTCAATCATATGTTCTGAATGACAACAAAATGTGATTTCAATATTGTATTTGATATTTTGTTTTTGATATATATTGTTTGTCACATTTCATATATGTAAATAAATATACAATTGTATTTAATAAGACAATAAAGTGAAGTGATTTTTTGTAATTAATAGTAAATCATTGCATTTGTAAGAAATCATCAACACATTGTAATTTGCAATTTACCATTTATTCAAACAAAACACTAGCGTGTGTTAGGCAACACGGGATTACGGTGTGCTCACCCAGCTTAATCACAGCTACCTGCACAGGTGTCATCATCTTGTCTTATTTCACCCATTTCTTGACCAGTGCTTTGTTCTGATAGTTTGACAGCATACATGCTACTGCAAACAGTTGGTTGATGTTGTAGGCATGGGACAGGAGGATGACACCATCAAAAAGCTTGTTCTCTTTTATCCTCCTAATGACACGCTCCACATGAACCCTCAGTCTGGCAATGGCCTGTGTCTCCCTCACCTGATAGGCTGGCATTTGCTTCTGCTGTGACAGAAAAGGTGGGCAGTACACCTTGCATTTGCAGCAATCGCTGATCAGGAAGCCCTTATCTACCATCACTGCCATGTTTTCAGTCAACAACGCAGCTATTCCAGATTGTTTGAAAATCTCCTTGTCGCTGACAGAACCACCATACAGACTGGAAACAAATGTCACTGCGCCATGTGGGGCTATGCCAACCAGGGCTTTCATGGTGCAGTGAGATTTGTATTTAGAATACATGTCACTTTGGAGGAGGAGTGAGGATGGTGTTTGACACCTCAGCTCTGTGCAATCCAGGATCACCTGTGTGTCTGGGAAATCTTTGAATGCCTCTGGGAGGTGGGCTTGAACTTCTGCAGGTGTAAGCCAGATGCACTGTGACCCCAATAAAGTTGTAAGAAAACTTGTCCATGTTGCAATGATGCGGCTCACAGTGGACTGGTGTACGTTGAAGCGGTTTGCAAGGTCCCTCTCTTTCAAACCCACCGACAGGAAGTATAGAAAAAGAAAGAACTCGTCAATTGGCTGAAGCTGCTGTCTGGAAGATAAAAACAAAAAAAGGTTACTATATTAATGTCATGAGTGTAGCACACTATGGGAAAAACATGAAGTTGTTTTAGTTCTCTGATGTATTCAAAAAGGATTGAGTACTTTAGCCTTTTAGCCTACACAAAAGCAATGAAATGTCGGAGAAACATTTTCCCTTCAGTTTGTGTTTAGATTGTGTGTTAAAAGAAACGTAGCCTACCGTTGATGGACGTGCGTGTGTAACCACTTCTTCATTCCTCTTGGCAGCTGATATCGCTCTTGTAACACGAACCATTTTATGAATTGAAGGCTCAATCAAAGACCAGAAGGCCATCAGGTGGTTATAGCTCGGGAATCTGTACACAAAAGACACATGTCAGTCATTAATTGACAGTAAATACAATCGTGTTAACTGTAACACATGGGCTAATGTTTTCCTCTTGTTTGCTATAATACATTACAATTCAAACTGATTAAGAAGGCACTTGGTGCAGGTATAGTAATCTACAGCAGTAAAATGTAACAACTACATTAAAGCAGCAGTAATAATAATCTAAAACATACAGGGAACATTTTACACACAATGACTACTTTTACTCTTCATTCTTAAGTGTGCAACTGGGGGAAACGCAGTGGATATTGACATACTTTTACTTTGGTAAGGTTTTGAAGATTTCCACTTGTAGTAAAGTATTATCAGTATGTTGTTAGTATTAGTATGTTTTACTCCACCACATTTAGTTAACCTTCATAGTTTCTAGTTACTTTTTATATATGAAAACACATGATTTATGATTCTACATGTTCAGTTCAGGAGTATTTTAAAACCATAGTATTTGTACTTATACTTCAGTTAAGTTGACAAAAAACACACTGGACGCTGCACTAGGTCAGAAACCAGAGGAGACTGAACTCCACCACAGACGGACCACTTTTGGTCAAAATGTCCTCTCCGTTAACACAGGGGTATCTCCTCTTGCACTTTATCTAGCACTTTTATCTTTTCTTACACTTTATATGTCGTAGCTGCTATATTGTACTGCCATGTGGTAAATACTTGTGTATGCTGCTCTTGCTCTTTTGCACTTTTTGCATATCATGTATTTTGTTTTTACCATGTTTGTAAAATGTAATTTTCTTAAATGTTTAATGTGAGGGACTGCGGATGGAAATTAGCTCAAAGCTAAATCTGGCACTGTTACGCTTGATACATTTTAATGTTTTAAGTGTTCATTACTGTGCATTGTCCCTGCCAAATAAACGATTAAATAAATAAAATATCCCAACACTGCATGCATATAGTCAGCGGTCACACGGCAGGTAAACAGGATTCTTTATAAGCTAACCCATCTCAAAAACTTGGATAGAATTGAGACAAAACATTACCTAAGAATCGGATGTTGTCGTCGGAGCCAGCAAACCGCTGTAAGCAAAACTCTCGCTGGACTCTTAACTCCTGCAGTTGCTTCTGCAGATCCTCCACTGTTTTGGAGTTGTCTTCTGTAGCTTGAGAGGACATGTCCAGTGAAGCTGGTTCAGGGGTTGAGCAGTAATTATGGTTCAAATATGTCTTATATGTCTTAAATGATATGATGAATTGGAAATGGGGGACCCTGATGTAAACAAGACGAAAGTCTTTCTCTGGTCTGCATCCCCTTAACAATTGTATGTTTTGAGCTGTACTGTACTGTACCCAATATACAAGCTGTTAATAAACTTTTCAATCAATCAATCAATCACGGACATCGATGTGCTCTTCCTGCTCCTCCCGAGAGACTGGTTCAGTGGGCCGCTCCCTTCTCTCCCAAACACTAGCCCGCTGTGTTTGAGCAGTAAAGTGATTCCACTCAAACAGAGTTGGTACAGCACCTTTCACAAGCCTCCTACGGCCATCAAGGGTTTTTGGCTCTATTAGTTGATCCGTAGCGAAGTGACGACTGCAGACCTTGGAGTGAGAGGATATTGTAAAGCTATCGCGCCGTATTTTTACCAGCCACTGTCTTCGCAGCTCGAGTTCGGTCGGAAAGCCATGGAAACTTAGGACGCCGTTGAATTTAGCTGACGCCGTACAAAGTGGGACACAGCAGTGCTCGGAGTAGTTATTCACTTGTCTTTGCAAATGTTCCGTTTTGAAAATCTTCCGTCGACTCATATTTAAACCATAGATTTAAACAGTAAAACCTTTGTGGACGATCTCCCGCTCAGCTACGCAGACCGGAAGTAAACCGGAAGCAGCCGAGCCGTATTACGGCTAAGGCGGAAGTACGTCTCAGACCCTAGTGCATGTAGCCTATTAGCGATACTATGAGGTGTGATTTGTGCCAAAGAACAGATAACTAAGCTCACTGAGCGGAGAACTGACGTGTCAACGTGCGCCAACGCCTCCATCAATTTTGAATGGGTTGACGTACAATACAGGCGACGTCACGACGTTGTCAGACGTCAGACGTCAAGGCGACGTATCATTGGTGCGCTCAAAGTACGCGCTCACGTGGCGGCGGCGTAGCTTAGAAAGTGCTATCTTAGATATGCGTGTTGATAACGTACGTGTGGATATGCGCGTGAATAACGTACGTGTGGATAAGCGCGTGAATAACGTACGTCTCGCCTCCGTTAGCATTGTATAGCATTATCCTATATTATATTTTTCGAATGATTCCGCTCCTACAGTAGTTTGGAGAGTGTTACAGGTACACTTTCTCATCGGCACAGTATTGGTATCAGAAGAGAGGGGAATAATAATTAATAATCATGAGAATATTTGCTGGTGTTGTACTCGAGACCGGTCTCCAGACCACTTTTTAACGGTATTGGTCTCGGAATCGACTGCATTTGGTTTCGTATTGTCTCTGTATCGGACCTATAGGACTCGAGATTTTATGTCAAGACCGGTTAAGACCACGGCTGTGGCTGGGGATGTGATGAGGGTCGGGAACCGAAATCCGATTCCGATTTGGAACAAATAACAATTGTCCGGTACGGGGATTAATAAGAGTTGTGTCTAGCAGCTCTCTCTCTCTGCTCGGGAACAGCTGATCGCTGCGCGGCGATCAGCTGTCCCTCCCTCCCTCAAGGTGTGTATGGGTGTGTCTATGTGTCTCATTCACTGTCCCTCAGGTTGTAGCATGTTTCGATTGCCAGTTTGTGGCTTGTATGTCTTGTGAACGCAACACTGGCATGATGTGATGTGGCCTGCTGACATGGCCTCTAATAAACACACAGGACTAAAATAATACGTGTTTAATTCAGCCCAGATGCGGTGACTGCAGGCCAAATCCATTAATGCGGCATATATTGAAGGTGTTCAAAGTTGCACCGGTATGAGGCGCAGTGAGAACCACGCACCTGTCAGACCAGACCTTTATATATACAGTCTATGTGTCAGACTAGCGAATGGGCACATTTAAATTTCAGGAGAATAATGAAGATGTGATTTGTTGTTCCACTTTCCGTTTCTCACGAGACCAGCGCGCTGCTGTTTACATTAGTGTGGACTGGACCGACTGAAACTGACGGCAAGGTTAATTATTGTGGAAGGATGGACCCCCATCCTGCAAAAAAAGGCAGCGAAATGTGCTAAAATCACTGATTTATTCAGAACCCCCTATGGTATAGAATGACGAAGCAGAAAGTAAGTGAGCGAACATTATGAGCCACATTTCTTTCTATATTGTAGCCTGATGTGCACATCGACTGTCAACAAAACAGTTTCTCAGTCCAATGCTAAGTTAGTGGCAGGCCCTGTGTGACTGGAGACTATAAGGCTACACAAAACCCAAACATGTCCTTAATGTTACTCAAGGCAAATATATGTAATATAACCGTTAGACTGCAGCTAACTGTGGGGCAACAAACCCCTCATACTGTGAGTGAATCACTTGAGATGGTTATGTTGTCTAAAGGGGAGACAATCATTATGGTATTAGGCCATGCAAATACAGGGTCAACTAAGTGATAAAATAAGTGTTGCATAATATATGTTCTTGAATAATGTTATTTCATAAATAGTTGTTAATGTAA